AACGTAGCAAAATTATTGAGTTTTATTTTTATTTAAAAATTTTCATTTCATAATACAGGCTCAAAGAGCGTCGTTTAATATGCGAGATATAATCTCTGACTCGACGCTTAGATATTTTTTTTCTAAAGAATAACATGAATATTCGATGCATTGAAAAAAAGTGTTGAGAAAAATCCGAAATGCACATTGAGTGGAAGGCGAGAGGAGGTTACTTAGGTAACATAGCTTTCATAAATTTCATAAACTTTCAGTTAAATCTTTTTGAAATTATCATTTATGCAAACTCCTTCGCGACATTTGCACCATCCGGTACTTGCAACGAAATTGATTAAAGAGACAAATAGAAACGTGGTAGTATTAAATAAAATTTTTAAAACGAAATTAATAAATTAAAAACAATAGTGCTAGATTTTAATAGAGTAAACTTCTTTTTTCAAATCATGTCAGATTTCTATGTTTTTATTTTAAGGGAGACTTTACACGTTTCCTACGTTCTCCTTCGTATCAAGATATGTAAATGCAACGGAAGATCGTTAAACATGAACAGTGATCACAATGATCGTTTCCACAACTATGCGGAAAGAATTCCATCGTTTACAATTCTTCTCTTTCCTTTTGCTCTTTACATTTCCGTTCGTTTCTCTGACCGACGTATTTACTTGCATTTACTCTAACACCAGGGTGTGTTCTACGTAGCGATAATATAGATAAGTGAAAGACAAATAAAGAAATAAGTAATCCTCCGGAGAAAAATTAAGTCGAGAAAATTGATCAGATAGCGAGGAATATCATCCTCGACGTAATTGTAAATAAACTCGATAAGTCCGGATATCTTCCGTATCTTCGAAATTGAAGAAAAAAAAGAAAAAAAGAAGAATGAAGCGATAGAAAAGATTTAATTTCGCTTGTACAGGATTATTCGACAAAGCAATCATACAAAGTGGTGTGGCGGTTAACCCTTGGGCTTCGATAATCAAAGAGCCGAGCAAGTACGCGTTCCAGTTGGCTGCAAAACTTGGCGAATCCTCCACCGATCCTGAGACTGTAGTCGAGTTTCTGAGAACGATAGATGTGCAAAAGCTCGTGGCCACTGAAGTTAAGCTTCTCACGCCACAGGTAAGTGCCGCGAGGGATAATCATGATCGAAAACAAGATTCTCCGGTTACGAAAGACAAAATGACAAAATCACAGTGATTTACATTTCTGAGATTGGAATCGAGGCTCGATGGGAGGCAACGTGAAATTGAGAAATTTCCTCTTTGCGCATGGATTGCACAGAATTTCCAGAGTGAAAAGTATTTAGAATATTTTTAATTAATATTGAAAAATATGTTTGATTAATGGTGAATGAAACATATTACATTGGAGATTTATTCCTCCCTTTTTTGGAGGGAGAGACAAAATTAAAAATATCTCCTTTCGATCATTCTTAATTTTAATCCTTCTTCGTCTATTTTCAGAAGAATGTTAGCATTATTAGCAATAATCCGATTTCAGTCGTGTTAATTAGAACTTGGCTCGCTAGAGAAATATTAATTATGGATTTGATTATGGAGAATGTTCTTTCGTTAATGAATCGTATGTTACAAGCTCAACACATTTCAATACGAATATCATCGTTTTAATCGTAACTGTTGTCAGTTGCAATGTTTCGCAACCAAGTTCCCAATAATTATGATTTATAACTTAATATGATTTGATAGGAAGTACGACGCAACGTCGTGGTTATAATCATTTATAGTTATACAACTTTAATTGAGAATTACATTGAAAACTGAGTCCTTAAAATCAGGTAAGAAAAAAAAAAAAAAATAAAGAAAGTTCGAAAAATTGCAAGAAACAATAATTTCATGTAATAGATAAACTTGCTATGCTAGTAAATTCCAGAATTTATAAAGCAGAAAAGAGAATCATTTAATATAAAAAAAAAAAAAACAGAACTATGTTCATGAAATAAACCGCAAGAAATTTCAATCAGTGATACACGTTCTAATTTCTTTAGTGTCTCTAATTTCCCCAAACAGATTCACATGATTCCCTACCGAGAAGTTTGATTAAAAAGTATTAGTTATAACAAAGATGCAATTCAACTTTAAATGGATAATCTGATATCGGTTTTTCTGCTGAAAGCAACAGATGTTACCGGAGCAAGCTTGTTCCGCCGTTAAACTCCAATATCAAGCATTAGAAGTCGCTATAATTTTAATTGCATTACTTAACTGTCCTTACGCCATGACGTAACGAACTGATAGCTCGTTGAAACGATACCTTAACTAGTAAAAGTATTCTACTTTTTTTTTCACGTAGTATCATAGTGTAATTTCAACTAATTCCATCTTCATTGGATTCTTTAAATATATTTCTAAATATTAGCTTTACAAATTTATTTCGTTCGATATTTCCCAAGCAATCCAACCGAGGATGTACATCTTTTCAGTACATCTTCCAGTCTTTAAGTTCTATTTTTGACATAGGTCAGCTTCACGATCGCGAAGGAAATAATTAGTTAAGTTAAAGTTAATTAAGAAAAATAGTTAGTTAAAGTAAAGATAATTCGTCCAGTCGACATCATTAAGCAGCATTCACCGCGGTAATAAAATATTCAATCGGTCCGGCAGTTAACGCGACCGATTTCTGGTCGGAATAATTGTTCATCATTGATATTGTGCGACGAGGAGAAGTACATATCACCGTGAATTTTCGTCAATGTTTGATTAATAGTCGATCGAAACGTCATTTCACGTCTAATGGGATGCTTGTGTCAGAAACTCATTAATTTGTAAACTCCCGTTCCCTTTCACTCTCTGCCTCCTGTTCCTTCGAATACCCTTTCCGGAAATTAAAATGAGAACTCTATGTTTCTATGGGTGATTCTTGCAGGAACGTTACGTTCTATTCTCATCGTTTGGGCCAGGCATCGATGCCAAGTCCCCGAATCCATTTATGCCTCAACATCCGATGAAAATGAGTGAAGCAGGCGTCAAAGTACCTCTTCTTATCGGTTTCAATGCAAACGAGGGCAGCTTCTTTCTAAACTGTAAGTTCACGTTTCTACAGGCAAGCACGAAGTTTACACCTTGTAATTTGACAGAATGGCACGTGGAAGTTAGAAAATGTTTAAATTATTTAATTTACACGGGCAGAATGGACCGGCTGTATTTTTCCCCGATGATTCTTTGACACGAGCTTTGAATTGAGCGAAAAGATCATACGGAGAAAAGGGATGATTCGAAGACATGATGTAGAATGATAGCTGAATGTATTTTCATTCAGGATTTTTTATAACTTGCTTGAAGTTGAGTGCTTATTGCTTGGACTGAGTGAGTATAAAAATGTGTTTGATATTGAGTATGACACTCTGCATGACTGTGATTGTCTGTGACACCTGACAATGAGTGTAACAAGATGAGTGCTTGTGGGTTTAATACACTACTCTAAACGGATTTAACATCAGGTCACTTCCATATAATTTTACCACGTTACTTTCTGTTTTCAAGTCAATTTCTCTTTTTTTCTTTTTTTTAAATTTCATTGGATCATTGCAATTTAAATTGCCACTGAATAGAGTTTCTGCCCTTTCAATTCCCTTGCTATTCAAAAAAATATTATTTAACAATTTTTATAGTATATAAAATTATATTGAATTATTCACGTCTAGAAATTCAGAGTAAAGCTTCTTCTGTCTGAATGTTCAAACGTGAATGACCAAAATTGTTGGCATGTAACCACAATGCGTGTACGTAGGATTGAGTTTTGTTTAACAAATGTTTAACAACTGTTGATTCGAACAATGTTGATTTGTATAAAAATACAAATGAGTGTAGATTAACTGTTAGTAAAATTTGTCCAAGTCACAATTTGAAAATTGGTGTTTCTCGAGTCTGTCTGTGTATTCTTTTCCTTTTTTTTTTTTTTTGTTTTAACTTTTCTTGCTAACTTGGTACGCTTAGGACGATCAAAAAACATGGATTTTTCCGTCAACGTCATTCCGTCGTCCTTCGGAGATACCGAGTCACACGTACCTCCGACCATTGAATAACGAAATAAGCTAAAATTCTGCACATGCTGCACTTATCTTAACATCTTTAAACTCCAATTCAAAACTGTGACTTTTGCTTACGGAGCAATGTCTTAAAATAACAATAGTTAGAATTTTTAAGAAGAAGTAATTTGTAAGGGAACGTTCCTATACACTTCTTAAAACTATTGAAAAACAGTTAAAATTCTGAGGCTCGATGTGAAAATATTTCCAGCGGTGGGAACTAGCTGTGGCTCTGCGGAAGCTATTCGAAACGTGAACGAAAACTTCGAGCTGGTAATACCTGAGCAGACGAAGGCCTACTTGAAGAAGGAAGGAATTAGTTCGAGCGACTTGAAACGATTGTATTTCGGCAATGAACCAATTGGAGAGAAAACGATGCAGAAATACGCAGATTATTTCAGCGACATGATGTTCATTCAAGGCATTCACCACGTTGTCAATATCCAAATGAAGAATTCCATTCATCCTACGTATTTGTATCAGTTCAGCTACGAATCAAGCGAGTCGCTGGTTCGAATGGCGTTTAATTTCACTCTGCCAGGTATTTCATACTTCGATTAAAATTTTCATGTATTATAAACCTCGAATTATATCCTGATACGTAAAAAGATTTGTCCTGTCTTTCGTACTTGACGAAAAAAGAAAGAAAGAAAGAAAGGGATGATGCAGAGATGCAGAGAGAGGTAAAATAGTTACTCTTATTTTGGAAAATGATTTTTTAAAAGCTTTTCTCTAACTTATTCTAGTAAAAATACGACAGACCTTCGTAGTTTTTGAAAGTAGAAAATTCCCTAAAATCTTTTCTATTTATCTCTTAAAAAAAAAATTTGTTTCTTCTTCCTTCGTTTAATTCGATGTCGTAACGAATATAGATTATTTTATTACGATTAACTAGAGTATAAATAGATTGTAAATTTCGTCATAAAATCTGTGAAATTATCTACTTCAGACGTTCTACGTTTTCACTCTCAACACGTTAGATACCAAAGTTAGACAGAAATTATAAACAAAGATATGAAAATAACACATGAAATGTATTATTTTCTAATTTTTAAAATACATATGTTCCACTGTATTTTTTTTTATTTATTCGCGAACAACAAATTAATGTAGTACAAACATCAGTAAAAATAGAGTATTTCAAAGTTGAAGAACATTATCGAATCATTATCAAAATAATTCTCGCTCAAACTTTACAATCTTACTCCATAGAGACACATTGCAGGAATTTAAGAAAAAAAAAAAGACACAGCTTAAAATATTGTTACACTTCAAGAAAAGAAAATTATTAATATTTTACTGATATTAATTTCGAACAAGTGACAAAATTAGCAAAATTTTGCAACAAACATTCGTCCATTGGCATAAGCTCTGAGTCAGTGAAATTCATGAGAGTCTTTCAAGTAAAAACTAGTTGATCAAGAATCCAAGTATCCCCCATTGAAGCTAAAGCGAACGAAAATCTGTTTACGTTGTTACAAGCTTGTTGTAACTCCAGATTAGTGGTGTTCTTGAATCTTTAATGAACTTTGAAAACTACCCCCGAGAAAGTTAACCATAAAGAGTCGTCGAAATTAGACTGCCTGTAGAGGATCAAAAGATCAGTCTCGAATTTTTCCTTTTGAATAGTCTTGAAAGTAAAATCCTTCTTAGTAAAATGTATTTGTTTAAAGGAACTGCACACGCAGAGGACTTGCAGTATTTGTTCTACTCGAAATTAGCGAAAAGTGTAGGTATAAAAGAATACGAGGTTGGAAGCGAGAACTTCAGAGTGATGGAGTATTTCATTCAAATGTGGACAGACTTCGCGAAAACTGGGTAAGTTCTGTTTATTTTACAAGTTTGTTCAGGATCAGCTTGAGAAAGTGTTTGTGAACATTTATGAAAAACGTGCAAATTGCAAATCGTTCACGCAGAAAATGTAGATTTAAATTGTAAATCAAATCTAACGCTACGCATTATTCATAATTATTCTATATATCGTGTTTTCTGAATAAGTTATCAAAACTAAGTTATCTTTATTAGAATCGTCCACTCTACAACAATAAGAGTACTTTCTTACGAAGGAACATATTGTGTGATAGAAAGCGTATTATACCAACAGAAGTATTCATATAATAATTCTTCAAAATATATCATCGCAATGTTAATTTTGTGTAATCTAGGCGGAAACTACATTTTCGTACAATATTCAGTATGAATAGTAATTTCATTAATACACGTATTTTTGAATTTCATTAGTATAACATCCTTATTGGTGTAATTTAATATTATCTATCATTATAGGAGAAACCAAGAATAAAAGAAGCATAGGGAAGTATAAAAGTAAAAGATAAAGAATTTAAAAATATAAGTAGAAACATGAAAACTTATTAGTGAAGTTAAAGCCAATGTTTCTTTTTCAAAAAACATTTCTCACAAATTCTTTTTGTGTAACATTTTTCCAGCATCGCTTCCTTTGCTCAACGTGCCCTTTCAAATAAAATATTTTCAACGAAAAAATAAATGCACTACAGAGTTATATGAATACCTTTTAGCATGAATATCTTTTCATATTTCAATCCCGAACATCTGTTTCATATTAATACCACGATATACGTGTGTAAAAATTTCTTCGTGTGAAAGAGCTCTTAAGCTTATTAAAAGATGTATTACATTCCCGAATCAGCTTTTTACGATATTAATAATAAATGCTTGTTACGATATTACCAAGAGATGAGACAAATGAACGAAAGTGGAAAATCTTCATTTTTATTAAAGAAATCCAACGCCAAAGACCACGGAGTTGATTCCAACGATTTGGCAACCAATGACGGAAGGAAATGAGTATATTTATTTGAATATTAACAAAACGCTTCGGATGGAAAGCAGCAGTAAAGAAGAACAGAGACACAATTGGAAGAAAATTAAAAACAAATTATAATACGTGTATTAGATCGCATAATTTAACATTTATATTAAAAAAATGAAACATTAAGATTGAAAATTTATATTATCGAGTATTTCAGATTCATGAGTGTCATGTGTATTTTAATGAAAAAATAAAATATGTTTTCTACAAGTTAGTAATTCCTTTCCTACATCTTGATCATTGCTCGTCAAACAAATTAAAATTTATAATAAAATATATATATATATATATATATATATATATATATATATATATATA